GTTTTAGGTGGGAAAACATGGGTGGAATGTCATGTTGGTGGAACCATGTGTTAGATCTCCAGCTGAAGGGCTGGAGGGATGCAGAGATGAGGGTATTGCCTTTATGCTCTTCTTGAAGTGTTCAGACCCCCCCAGTTGCCTCCCTTCACGCACATCACAGGGTCTATGTATCATCTTTTGCCATTAACACCTTCCTGGTAACAGCGTGAGCTCTAATTTCCAGTCCTAGTTGAATAATCTCTGCCCAATAAATCACTTCCTGCCTCAGGTTGTCCTTGGATGGCTTTAGCCTTCAACCTGAACATCAGAGGCTTGAAAAGAGAGACTCAAACCCTTTGCATCCGATAGACTTTGAACAGTAACGTAAAGAGCCTGTTCCTCATCCTGCCTCTTTTATCCCATGGCTCATGGTTTGCCCCCCATCATCTACCCCAGGAGAATGTGGGAGGGGTTGTGGGTTGGGCACAGTGTTTCCTGAAGGATCTCGTTTAGTTGATGGTGTCACCATCAACCCCATGTCCCCATTAACCCCATTCACCTCCTGGTGCCACCATCAACCCCATGTCCCCATTGTCACCATCAACCCCATGTCCCCACTGTCCCCATCAACCCCATGTCCCCATTGTCACCATCAACCCCATGTCCCCATCAACCCCATTCATCTCCTGGTGTCACCATCAACCCCATGTCCCCAGTGTCACCATCAACCCCCTGTCCCCACCAACCCCATTCACCTCCTATTGTCACCATCAACCCCCTGTCCCCAGTGTCACCATCAACCCCATGTCCCCATTGTCACCATCAACCCCATGTCCCCGTCAACCCCATGTTACCATTGGCCACCATCAACCCAACGCCACCACCAACCCCATCTCGCCTCCTACTTCCACCCCATCTCCCCTTTATCCCCCCTTTTCCCCACAATAACCCAAATCTCCCCCTTTTAAAACACCATTTTTCTCTATTGCCCCATTTCTTGCCTTTTTTTGGGGGGGGGTCACCCCAAAAAGCCCCCCCACCATGTCCCCCATCTCTCTGTGTCCCATTGGGAACACTTGGGTTCATCTCAACACATGCTGGTGGCTCCTATGGAGAGATGGGGCTCAGGAGGGACCCAAACCCCCCATGTCACCATATCCTATATCCCATATCCCCATATCCCATATCCCATATCCATATCCCTATATCCCATATCCCCATAGGACCCACATGTTGGGCCTTTGGTTCTCCTTGAAGGTCACTGCTAAGATAAGGGTCCATCAATGATTAACCAGCACCCAAAGGTGCCCATTGGGTGCCCCATTGATAAGGTCCATGCTGATAAGGTTGAAGGACATCAAGGACACATCCCTGTGGGGAGGGACCATGGTTGGGGGTCACCTTGGCGTGGGGTATAAGGGGAGGTTGTGGGGCTGGGACGGGCTGGGACCGAGTGGAAGCTGCTATGGGGAAGGAGGTAAGAGGGAGATGGGGCTGGATGGAGGGATGATGGATGGAGGTGGGACACAGGGATGGAGGGACAGAAGGACACAGAGGAGGGATGGACCTAGGGATGGGTGGAGGGATTGATGGATGATGGATGGATGGATGGATGGATGGATGGATGAACAAAGGGGTGGTGGGATGGAGGGATGGACAGAAGGACAGTTGAGGGGTAGATAGAGGGATGGAGGGACGGTAGAAGGGGTGGAGGGATGGATGATGATGATGGATGATGATGGATGATGATGATGGATGACAACGATGGATGATGATGATGATGGATGATGATGATGACGGATGATGATGGACCAAGGTATCTCCTGTC